TTATATTATTAAAAACTACAAAGAATACCATTTCAGGAGTAAAATATTAAGTATGAGATGCAGAGTTGGTTTTGCTTAACCAACTGTGCATGGTTGCGTGAAACATGATTAACTCAGGTAAACAACGTTACTTTGTGACCAATGTGATTCATCGGCAAAGGTTGAAAGAAAGAAATTTTTAGAACCGAAACTGCGTCTTATGGCATTGTTCACTCTTCGAACAACCGAGGCCATGAGGTCCGAATTCTGGACAATAAATTATTTTCAGAGAATACCCCTTCATCCCTTTCCCAAGCGCTGCAATTTTGATTTTGTTTTTCCAACACACTTCGCCATCGCGGAACACAAGGTATACCGGGCCAAGCTAATCGATAACGCCCAGGGAAAGTTTATTGCACTTAGGGAATGACGTGGTATAGCTCACTAGACACACTATAAGACCTACTGCTTATTGCGTATGGCTTTTATTTCTATTTGCCACAGCTGTTAATGGGATGCCGGCTTGGACTCCTAACATGTCGTCAGAGTTACTACCTCAGTATGGCCTCGCTGTCATGCGCTCCAACAGGTGGCCTGGTGCAGTGGCTTTCGCCAAAGACAGGTATGGAACACGCAAAAGCGAAAATTACATGCAGTTGGTTTTTAAACTCTCTCTTCCTAATAATGATATGTGGTTGACAGTGTGCAGTGGAACCTGTATCTAGCGACACAGTATTTAGCGATCACCTTTATTTAGCGATCACCGTTACCCTTCCTTGAGTCCCCATGGCTTTTTTCGTTGTCTTCCACTTGTATTGAACGGTCACCTAAAAGCGGGACCATTCAGATTAAACTAGAAATAATCTTTCTAATAATTTTTAATCCATGTTTCTCTCCCTAAATCAAAGTATTTGCGAGCGAGACTCTGTGCATTATGTGGTCAATTATGGCATGAAGTGGCGTTGTTTATCGTTTTTTATAATACCGCTAATCTGTGGAACCTGCTATTGAACGGTGGGTGAACCGTGAGTGACCTGTTTAGTCAAACGTAGGAGACTCTCTGTAGCTTTATTCAACTACAATTTATTAACTTTTTTGTAATTGTTAAACAATGAAGCGGAAGAAAGAGCTCAAATAAATAGACGTTCTATGATATCCAACATGTTCAAAAACGCGTGCTCTCAGACCCAGGACAATGGAGGGGAAAATGGCTTACTTTCTCTTTCTTGATGTTTCTTTGCCGAAGGAAATTCGAAAATATCTACATTGGTTGGGGACACAAATTTGATGCTGACAACTACACCCCACCCCCACCCCCTGCGGCCATGGAGGAGTACCCTGTGGTACCGGAAGTAACAGAGGTGGATGACCCAACAGTAGAAGAGGAAAGAGCGCTGAAGAAGGCGCAGGAGGAAGCCATGGAGGCTGCTGAGGACATGGATGATGTAGATGATGACGAGGACGACGATGATTAAACGTCATTAAATATCATGATTACTGTTTATCTTGTAGATAAAACTCGATATTTACTTAGAATTACCAACCGACCAGATTTTCTAACATGCATGTACGATGTATATAGTTTAATCTTTCCTTGAGGAATGAAGTGTTGTTTCCTGTTTTTACTTGTCGCCATTTTTGTGAAAGTTAGCTCCAGTCGGAACAATTAGGTGAGAAAATGTATCCTCTTAGATTTTTGGTGTGTAGTATTGCCGAGTTGTAGTATTGCTGGTATGTAGTTTTGCCGTGTTGTGCCGTATTTTGACGAGCCCGGAAAAGTAAAGCGTCTGATAAGTTATTTTTTATCTACCTGTTTTTTGTTTGTTTGTTTTTTTTCTTTGTTTTTTGGTTTTTGTATTTTCTGGGAAGTGTTTCTGCTCATTTCTCTCAGGACGTGAAAAGTAAAGCGTAGCGTACGCAGCCGACCGGTTAAATAGGTGTTTTGCACTACGAGAAAACCAACCCTACAAGATTTTTGTTCTCTTTTCGCGCGTTATTTGTGCTGTGCGTTGTGCAGTTGGGTATCTCTAGACTCTGTGATGTTTAGATTACGTTAAGGTTTTTGCAATTCCATCATTATGTAATGAAAAAGATTAATCCCGTCTGCCGCTTTTTCATCTGACATTGCCTATGCTTTGCACAACCGAACACTGGAACATCATCGATGTCCTCTAGGATTGCATTTAACTCAACTCATACTGACATCTTGCCCCACTGAGAACAAGACTTTAAATCAGCCGTTCAAGGGTGCCGTGGTATAATGAGGTTATCAAGCAACTCAAATGTAAACGCAGTCGCCTCGAAAAGAAGGCCGTCAGATCTGATTCCCACTGTAAATACATGGAATCATCTATGTGAGCTTCAGGTTAAGTAATGAATATGAAAGCGATTTTCGCAACGATGAACACTGCTTGAGGAGTAGTGAAAAAAAGGCCCAAAAAGATTTAGGCCTGCACGGGATTTGAACCCAAACTGGTGGCCGGGGCAATTATTCCAGTCGCTCGTTGGCTCAATTGGTAGAGCACTGCAGTGGTATCGCAAAGGTCATCATAATCTTAAATCTTAAATCTAATCGTAAATCTGCACGTGTGACTTCCTACACAAACCTGGTTGATCGGTGTGCAGGTGACTCCCGAAAGCTATTCCATTCAGTTAGTTCTCTGTCCAAAGAGCCAATTCACACACTTCTTCTTGCTGATCATGATGACCCTATAAACTGCTTGCAAGTGAATTTTGGTCTATTTTGAGAAAACAGAACTGATGTCAGCAATCACATTGCTGAACACCATCGACTTACCAACCACGACATTGACTGGGACCCTGCGCAATGCCTAACCTACAGCACTGACTATTTTCAACGACTGACTCTGGAGAGCTGGGTTACTAACTTAGAACAGACTCCCCTAAACAGATGTCAACAACCACTCGCTCCATACAAACGACTCATTCACGACATAAACATCACAAACGACCGAAAAAGAACGACCTAACTTTACCGACAGATCGAAACAGACCAATCACGACCGACTTACGTCACTTGAGTCTTACAGCCAATAACATCACGGCAAAACCAACCGATCATTCCACACGAATTGGACTAAGAACATTCTACTGACAACAATCATTCACTTGACTCTGATGATGACTTCCGCACAGGTTGTCGAAACGTCAGTCACTACCACCGACAACAGTCCTTCTCAGGACTACACTCACCCGGACGATCAGACTACACCTTCACATGTTACCCCCGGGTTCAAGCCATTTACTGCAGAACTCATTAAGGATATATTAACAAGTTTGAAGTTCCCGAACCTCGGCTTTTCACGGTTTATTTAAGAATAATCGCTTCGCCTTCTGCGTATAACTGTTAAATAATTCTCTCCATATGAATCCTTGAGATATTTGAAATGTACATATGTCTAAATCTAGGAGAGGCGGAAAAGGACGACCCTGAAGTT